AGTACGTAACATGTATATATGTTTTTATTATTTTTATTAATTAGAAGAATTAACTTTATTTTAAATTTTGTTTTTTTCTTTTTTCTTCTTTAAATCCTTTTTTTTCTGAGGAGATCCACGTAGTTACCATACAGTACTGTGAGAAATATTGAATGTTTTAGCCAGAGCAAAATAAAGGTCCTGCACCTTGACTCTTTGAGTCCTCTCCTAAACATCTCCATTCGTCCTTTTTTCCCAGCAGTTCTGATTTCTCTGTCTCCCAGTGCGAATCTACTGAGAACGAAACCTCTTTTCGGCTTACCTCTCTCCTCTTTATTAAAAAGCCTCTCCCGTGAGCACCTCTCATATTCCCCTAAAATTTTCCTTTAATATTTCCCAAAAATCCTTTTCTTCCTGAACTATAAGTAGTTCTACGGCATTGCAACGGGGCCCCAACCTTGCTACGACTCCTTCAGTATGTGAATCATTTTTTATTTATATAGTCCACACCAAATCGTTTTTTTAAATTTACATTTTTAAATTTTATTTTCTACCCAGCCAAAAATTAAATAAAAATACATACAAGAGACTTCAAGTAAATTACATTACATGAATTAAATTACACAATAATAAATTTACAATTACTTTCTCTTATAAATTTTCGCCTCCATCGCGCTCAAGAATATAGTTTAAATTAACATAATTTAAATTGTCCGAAAAATTATCCCGCTGTACGAATAACTGAATTTACAACAGTCAGACATGGCAATGAAGAAAGATTGAGACGACAAGAACCAATTTGTACATCCTAGCCAGCAGCAATATGAGAGGAGCTTTATGGCACTTCGGCATTATTTATTGCCACCCCCCCCCCTTCCACCGTTAAAACAGAACACGAAAAATAAAGCATTCCCAAATTGTTCGCCACGGGAGGCCTGGAGGGTTCAGCCCTGACAGTCGGGGAGTTTATAATACATGCTTCATATATAAATTAATAAACAACGTGGTAACCTCTTTTTTAAATAATGTAACATTCGACTATGTTACAAATTTCGAGAAGTTCTGGTTCAAGAACAAAACTTAAACAGTTTTGAACGAACATAAATCCCTTATTTTCTCATACAATTCAAAAGAGTTTTCAGCCTGAAAAATATCAAACTTGAAATCAGACCAGAAGGGAGAATGTTTAAATCATTTTTGCTGGAATTATTATTGAATGGAAATGCTGAAATGTTATTAATTCTCAAGAATAGACCAGTTTGAAGGTGGAAGCTTTTGTATATGTTGAGCGAAATCCCTTTTTCGCTAATAAAATAAATAAAAATATTAACAAATAGACGAAAGAAAGAAATTCGCAATGAACTAAAATAATGGCAAAATAAAAAATAACGAAGGTTTGTACAAAATCAGGGGTCAACTTACCAGGGGGCGTCTCTGTGAGTAGGCGACGGGGTGACGGATTTCGGGCCCGAGTCCACCAGCTCCCGATCGTGAAAATCCACTGTTGGTTCCGGAAAAGGAAGAAAAGACCGCTTTTGCACAAGTTAGAATCTAATTCGAGAGAAACATGAGAGGAAAGAAGCGAAAGAGGCATAGGCTTACCATATACTGACTAAACGGTGAGAAAAATCACCTGAGGAACTTAGGAAGGGATTAGTGAAGAAAATAAACAAGAAGCTTCTCAGAAGATCTTACCATGCACTCTGTGGAAAGAAAAATGTTTCTTGGCCTAAACATTCCGCCCACCAATTTTTACACAAATAAAAATTTAAGTTAAATAGAAAACAAAGAAATGGAAAGCAAGTGGATATGAAATGTAGGGGAATAAATCAAAACCTTCACCTGAGCGATATGTACAATCGGTATATATAAAACAATTCATGACTGGCGGACAGACGACGCACAGACCAAACCGCCGGATGACATAGCTGCTAAGAAAGAATTTCGTGAGATTCCATCCAGAGGATCATATGGACCATGTATAGACCGAAATGAACTGATGAAAAGAAGAATTTGAGAATCGAGACATTTTATTAGAAAGTCATACTACCTGTTCGCTGACGGCGACGCGCCCGATTTGTGACGTACACTGTACCCCTCTATCAACAATCCCTATCTTTTCAAAAATCATCAATCACAACACGCTTCCCTCCTTTTTCCTAAAAAATCCGTCCCTTCCAGCCTTTTTGGGCTCTCTTCTCCTATCGCCCTGTCATCTCCCCTAAGTGTTGCACAATAGTAATTAACCACCGGTTAGATCGCCCGGCTAATTTTTGTTATCACCACATTTATCACCACGCATCCGCGTATTGACATTAGAATCGCCTCATCCTTAACTCGGCGTGCATCCCATCTCCTGACCGCATGGACCCAAACCTATCATCGCCTTTTTCCCTTAATATTTCATCTCCCTTTATCATTCTACATAATCATAATCCCAAGATCGAATCATCCATCGTTATCCCCGGAAGACTCCATCATCTCACTAACATCGCCGCCTGGATTTCATCATCTCATTACCATCGCCACTTGGATTTCATCATTCATCATCATCATCATCATTATCGACGCTGCTGGAACCAGGCCGGTGCACTGGCCTAGTCATCGCCGATCAACGTACGATTTCGCATTCAGAGACATCCACCGCTTTCCGGCCTTCATCGCCATCAGGTTTCCAATACGATCATCGTCCATCTTGTAAGCCATATAAATTCCATTAAACAGTGAGTCTTCAATTATTCCTTTCCTTCATAATTTATGCCTTCATTTAATTCTTCCTAAACTTCCCCGTTGGTGCCGAAACAATCTTCTTATTAATAAATTCACTAATTTCGTGATCCGCTTGACCAATCAATATATTATAATTAATTAAGGTTTTTAGTTGAGATAAAAAAGTCAATGGCACGAGCGGGATTCGAACCCACGATATTCGGCTTGATACGCCGCTGTTCCACCACTTGAGCTATCGTGACGTCGATCCACTTGGACCCCAACTTCCCATCTCAACCCCACCTTTTGAATTTTTCCTCCTTTTTGCCATTTTTCAAATGTCGTGTAATCGGATTGGATTCTCAGCGACAAATGAAACGGCCACGGAGAGCTTTAGTGAAGTATACTTCATTTTAAATCATTAAATTCACTAATTCGTGGTCCGCTTGACCAATTGATATATTATAAATAATTAACGATTACACGACATTTGAAAAATGGCAAAAAGGAGGAAAAATTCAAAAGGTGGGGTTGAGATGAGAAGTTGGTGTCCGAGTGGATCGAGGTCACGATAGCTCAAGTGGTAGAGCAGCGGCGTATCAAGCCGAATGTCGTGGGTTCGAATCCCGCTCGTGCCATTGACCTTTTTAGCTCAACTAAAAACCTTAATTAATTACTTCTTATTAATTATAACTCCTATCTTCGGTGGTGTACGTCGACGCCATTTTGTATTTGGCTGCTGGCGAACACCACCACTCCGCATCGCATTAGAAAGGTACATTAAAACAGAGTCCCGCGAAGACGATGTCTCGTGTAAAAAGCCAGTATTTACATAGGGGACAAGGGAAGGAAATTATACAGCGGGAGGAAGGGAAGTGTGAGCGGATAGGTGTAGGTGACAAGGGAGGTAAAGTGGCTACTCTCGTAATGCCATCAGATCCTGGATGAATCGGAACGACTCTTCTGATAAGGCCATAAGAGGAGGGAGGAGCATACCTCGTGAAGAAAGACATTTATTTCGGGACAGACTTCTGCATTTCTTTTCGTTGCGTCCAAGCTTGGAAATGCTCAATATAATTCGGATAATAAAAGAAATTCTTGGCCTAAATTTTTTTACTTCATTTATTTTCATCTACAACTGTATATGTATTATACAAAACCAGCAGTTTGGATTTCAATTTGTGATTGTGACGTTGTTGTAGAGAAAGCAATTATCAGCAGCTCTGGATTAATAATATAATATTAATCATTCAAGAGGTCTCTTATCCATATTCTTTTCAGTCGCCTACGTGGTAATTGTGGAGAGTGTATTTGGATGTAAGTATTATCTTGTAATTTATTGTGAAAACCTCTGTAGTATGTTTTGATGGACGAGAAAACTGTCGACATAAAACGAAAACTTCGTTGGTGAGATTCGAACCCTGACCTTTATGGTCATGAGTGCCGTCTGAACGCTACCGATGTGACGCCTTTTGCTAACCTTTTTTTTAATTACAATTAATTAAGGTTTTTAGTTGAGATAAAATAGTCAATGGCACGAGCGGGATTCGAACCCACGATCTTCGGGCTTGATACACCGCTGCTCTACCACTTGAGCTATCGTGACCTCGACCACTCGGACACCAACTTCCCATCTCAACCGCACCTTTTGAATTTTCCCTACTTTTTGCCATTTTTCTCTTTTTTTTAATACTTACAGTGACATAAAAGCCGAGGTTTGTTCATGCAGCCGGACAGAACCGATATTAAGTTTTCTAAAGTTGTAAAACATTTGAATTTGGATAAAATTCAGAGGTGTTATGAATTTTAAGTGGAACACTGGGGATCGGCGAGAGAAAAAAAATGCCACCGGCAAATCCAGCAAAAATATGTGCTTTTTTATTGCGATAAAAATTCCTGCTTCATGGTTTTTAAAGGGTGCTTAAAACGAATCTGATTCTTTTCAACAACAAATGTTTTACGACCTACTTTACTGGAAGCGACTTTAGGTTTTTGTAACTTGTTATACAGCTAATCTCATTTAATACCATCCAGCATATTTGTTTTTAAAACCTTGAAAATATGCTCAAGAAAGGCAGAAAATCATATTTACAAAGAATTGGCAATCTTGGTAAGGCCCGCGTCTATTTTTCAACTTAGTATCACCAAAAAAGTTTGATTAAAGTCGTTTGTTACCGGGTAACTGCCCTGGGATTCATTAAAGTTGATTTAAATCGGTAATTTGGAATAAATTATTGACGATTTTTTAACAAAGAAATTATCCTTAAATCTCAATTAATCTATTTTTTAATAGTTTATTTTAATTTTACTACCTGTAGTCGTCTCCTTCTAACTTCCAAGCCGTAAAAATTACATTGTCTTCTGCTGTCTTGCCCAATCTGCTGGCTTTCAACACCTCCTGGAGCCTTATTAGGGAATCAGGATCTTCATATACAATCGCGAAACTTTTCCAGTCCATATCTTTAATGATGGCCAATAAACCCTTTAAAAAATGCTTGTTATCAAAAATATGATCCAAAAGGAAGGTTAATTTTGATCTACCTTCGCTAAAAGTTGATAATCCGGATGAAGGTTGATTGAAGCGACGAACCACTCGCTCTGGCCATATTCGGGGTACGTGCTGACTACAGGAATGTGGAATTGGTTGCTCATCGATTGGAATATTTCCACAGTCTCGAAGGACTGAGGAGCTAACAAAACGCCCATTCCTTCTTCCATTAACCTGCAGACTGAAAATATTGTTTACGATTACATCGTTTTGATAGATTTAATTTGTTATACATAATGTAAATCGAACGTGGAACAATTTGAAAGAGAAAAAATCGGTAAAGGTTTCCATGATATCCAGGGCCTTTCAGAGATGGTTTCTGTAATGAATCCTGTATTTCCTTCAATAAACGAGCCGACGGAAGACATCGTCGAGGCAATAAATTCACTGGTACGTTGAACAAGGAAAATGGGACGACTTTTACAGCTGGCCAATTTTGTGCAATGTTGGATAATAAACTGCCTCCGTTTCAAGACCTTGACAATTTGTAAATGCGGTCGATTTTATTTCGTACCTCGTCGTAAATGAGCCTGTCACGGACTCAATTTGGCCAGGTTTTTAAATTAAAGTGATGATTAATGATCGGACGAAATGAAATAACAGCATTATAAGAACATCAGGTTTTTTACATCATGCTAAGGTTCTAGAATATTTTCATTCTGTAGAAAGAAGAGATAAAACTTGTTAACTGGATTGAAAAAAATCTAAAGTAAATGAGAAAAACGATCTTTAATATTTAGAGTGAATTTTTTGTTATTACAAGTAATTAGTAATTTGCTTTCAGTTGTTTTTTGTTAATAAATATTAAACATAGAATGTTAATATAAAAAATTATTGTAGAAGCAACCACCATTATACAGGGTGAATTGCTACTCGTGCTACAAACTTCTCCAGTAGATTCTTCACCCTAAAATGAACAAAAAAGTTCATATTGTCCATGGTCCGATTCTCAACCATTTCAGAGTAATTTCGCTTTTTATCGATTTTGAAAGATATCACGTCCTGGCGTCGGAAAATCGTGATATCTTTTAATCTAAACATTTCTCTTAAAATCTATAAGCACCGTTGAAATCCCCGTTAATTTTTAGAGAGAATCAAAATCATAATTCCATTGAAATTTTTTAATTTAATTTAATGCCCATTTAGTATGTAATGCTTAAGAAGTTTACAAACAGCTAGAAGGTCAAGGAAGAAAGACCCAAACGTTTTGCCACCTTCATCTTCTTATTGAAAAATTAACGGGGATTTCAACGGTGCTTATAGATTTTAAGAGAAATGTTTAGATTAAAAGATATCACGATTTTCCGACGCCAGGACGTGATATCTTTCAAAATCGATAAAAAGCGAAATTACTCTGAAATGGTTGAGAATCGGACCATGGTCAATATGAACTTTTTTGTTCATTTTAGGGTCAAGAATCTACTGGTGAAGTTTGTAGCACGAGTAGCAAGTCACTCTCAAACATTAGCAATCCTTGAACCACCATTTTTTCTCTTTTTGTCATCAACATCTTGGTCTCACAACCACTAAATAAGAAAATGACGAGTGCGTTGGAAGCGTTATTAAATCAGGTAGTTTTCCTCAAATTTGCTGCCTTCTGAGACTAAAATTAGAAACTCTGGATTACTTTATACACTTTCCGATTTACACAATTTTCCACTCTTTTTGTAGTTCTGGCTGAAATAAAACACAAAAAATTAGCCCAAACATTTTGCCACCGTCATCTTCTTATTGAAAAATTAACGGGAATTTCAACGGTGCTATTAGATTTTCAGAGAAATGTTTAGATTAAAAGATATCACGATTTTCCGACGCCAGGACGTGATATCTTTCAAAATCGATAAAAAGCGAAATTACTCTGAAATGGTTGAGAATCGGACCATGGACAATATGAACTTTTTTGTTCATTTTAGGGTGAAGAATCTACTGGAGAAGTTTGTAGCACGAGTAGCAATTCACCCTGTATATACGATACATTATATTTCGAGGTCCGATTGACCAAATAACTTCTTTCAATTATTTAGTCCTTATATAAGGTATTAGTTGAAATGAAAATGTAGTGTCACGAGCGGGATTCGAACCCACGACCTTCGGCTAAATACGCTGCTGCTCTACCACCTGAGCTATCATGACTTCGCTTACTCGGACACCAACTCCCGATACAACCATTCGAATTTTCCCTCTTTTTACCATTTTTCAAATGTCGTGTAATCAGGATTCGATTCTCAGCGACTTATGGTGGCGCCGGTAGAGCAGCGGCGTATTTAGCCGAAGGTCGTGGGTTCGAATCCCGCTCGTGGCACTCAACCTCAACCCTTACATAAAAAGATTAATTTTTAAGTATTTTTTTTCTGTTTGAATGAAAAATTAACTCATTATTAACTCATATAATTTCTTTCCATTTATATTGTACAAAATATAAATAAATAAAATCTAAATAAATAATCTTTTAAATTTTTAAATTCATATACAAAAATGTCTTTCTATACCGACTTCCTTCCCCACCCCTTCAAAATCCAACGTATATAAACATAAAACAGCAATATCTCACTGGCACTCTCAACACGAAACGCAAGAATGCACAATTACACAAAAAACAAACACTTTGAGTGAGTAGAAATACTTTGATTGAATATAAAAAATAAATTTTGCATTGTTTCCACATCCTACATGTATCTGTTAAATTTAAACAATGTTTGTAAATCCCAGGCCCTGAAGATGATCTCAATAAAGATCGAAATGTTGGCACGATAAAGAAAACGTTTTTCTGAAACCTACATCTCACCAGACCGCATCTCACGATTTCTGAATAATTACTTATTAAATCGATTATAATTCGTGGTCCGAATGACCAAATAACTCCTTTCAGTTAATTAATATTTATGTAATGTCTTGGTTGAGACGAAAATGTTTGTGTCACGAGCGGGATTCGAACCCACGACCTTCGGCTAAATAAGCCGCTGCTCTACAACGTGAGCTATCGTGATTTCGATCCATTCGGATTTTTTCATTTCGAATTCGAATCCCGCTCGTGTCACTAACTTTTTCATTTCAACCAATACCTTACAAAAAGATTGATTAATTGAAATAGATCATATATAGGGTTAGAACGACTGTAAGGGAGAAAAATAAAGTTCTACTTTTGGATAATAGATGGAATCGAAAATATTTCTATTTGTAAATTTACATTGGAAACACGCGATTAATAATAATTGCACGCAATGATAGTGTCGAAACTCTTGGATAGATACTAATAATTAACAACGAAGTCCGTATTTTATGTTTGATGAAGAACAAACGGTCAGTAGAGATCAGAGAACGATTGTCTTCAAGATTGACTTTATTTGGGATCAATATTTTGTTACAACAAACGTCTTTTTGTAGGAATTAAATAATTTAATTTGTTATATTTTTTGTGTTTTGTTTATTGGAAGAGTTCAAATTCACCAAATGTTCATTTCATGAAATTTAACTAATAGATAAATCCTAGATTAGAATAAATTTTTATTTTTAGACGTGCAATGACGTGACAATATATACAATAATTTTAGAATGCAGGGAAAGTGACATTTCACTATGGCTTCCTACTATTTACAACTAATAATTTTTATATTCAAAGAGGTACTGGAAATTCCATAATAATTTACGGGAAAAACGTAATGTTCAAATAACCACATGGGAGAAGATACAGAATAATTAAATACAATAATAAAAATATAACGATTAAATCCTAGGTAACAAAGAAATATAGGCAATTTGAAACCGTTAATAAATACAGTTTAAAGCAAAGTTGAATTAATAAAACGCCAAGGGAGTATAATAAATTGCTATTGGGGCTGACTATAATTCGTGCCTTACCATATTATCCAGTATTATCTAGATTGGTGGTAAATCGCGTAAAATGAAAACATAAAATTCATTCATAAAGCTCGATTTCGATGCCAATATTAGATTATCATTTAGGAGAGAGAAGACGTAATCGAAGATTAACGGAGAAAGAAAGACAAAATATAAACATTGGAAAAACAAAAATTCAGTAACAATTATATTTTATTTTAGTAGGATATTTAACGGAAAAACTAGAACCAATATATACTTAATAAGCAAAACATTTAGCATAATAAAATTTAAATAATTTCAACTAATTAAGGTTTTTAGTTGAGATCAAAAAGTCAGTGTCACGAGCGGTATTCGAATCCACGATCTTCGGCTAGATACGCCGCTGTTCTACCACTTGAGGGATGGTGACCTCGATCCACTCGGACACTAACTTCCCATCTCAACCCCACCTTTTGAGTTTTCCCTCCTTTTTGCCATTTTTCAAATGTCGTGTAATCTATTTGATTCTCGGCGGCAAATGAAATGGCCACCGAGAGCTTTAGTGAAGGTATACTTCATTCTTACTTATTAAATTCACTAGTTTAGTTGAGAAAAAACCTTTTCTCATAGCTCAACTAAACACCGTAATTAATTGAAATATATTAATTGGTCAAGCAGACCACTGAAACTAGTGAATTTAAATAATAACTATTTTTTCTAACGATACGTGTTTAAAGTATATAATATTAATAACCATACAGGATGTTATTATTTTGACTTGATGTAGTCAATAGATAGATAATAAAGGAATAAACGTTCATAAAGCAATATCATCAACGTGTGTGGTGATTAGTGACCGTTAGTCGATGATCATTCGGAAATCCTGAGATGCGGTCTGATGTGATGTAGGTTTCAGAAAAACATTTTCTTTATCGTGGCAACGTTTCGATCTTTATTGAGATCATCTTCAGGGCCTGGGATTTACAAACATTGTTTACATTTAACAAATACATTTAGGATGTAGAAAAGTGAATTTATACAATGCAAAATATATTTTATATTCAAACGAAGTATTTCTACTCACTCAAAGTGTTTGTCTTCTGTGTAATTGTGCCATTCGTGCGTGTCGTGTTGAGAGTGCCAGTGAGATTTTGCTGTTTTATGTTTATAAACATTACAATGCTTGTAAATCCGAGGCCCTGAAGATGATCTCAATAAAGATCGAAACGTTGGCACGATAAAGAAAATGTTTTTCCGAATCCTACATCACACCAGACCGCATCTCACGATTTCCGAATAATATTTTCAACATTTATTCAATGGTAATATTATTTTTATGAATTATTGCACATAATCCTCGAA